TTATTACCAAGCAAAACCTAAATGCTCGACTCGTTATTGTTTTCCTAACGTTATATAGTTCATTGGCCTTGTGTATTTTCAACAATAACTATAAATTAATGCAGTATAGTTTAGGATTTTGATTAACTGATTATGGGTAAGTGAGAGGAATTAGAACCAGCACGTGCAAAAGTAAAGGATTGCCTGATTGGAGAATGGAGACCCAATCATTAATTTCCTTTCTTATTGAATGTACTAGTGCCAGCACATTAACATGTTCGAACTCTTCCCTGAATTTAAAACCTTTTTATAGTCTGACAAAACCACTTTAACTACCAACACATTGACTATACTTGTATGTACGGATACCAGACCGTTAAGAATATCTGTGCTAATTAAATATCTTAAATTAATTTTAAATTTAAAATGACATAGATTAAAATTCATTAATTAAAGTAGTTTTAATTATTTTACATAAATTTTTATATTATATTCATAACTTTTTATAAAATTTGAGATAAAATATTATATTATATTATATTTTTATATATTATATTATATTTTATTTGAATCTTGTATAAAAATTTATGTAAAATTAATTACAAATATTATAATAAATAAGGCTTAATTTATATTTTAATGATATAGGTTAAAAGTGTAATAAATATATATTTTTTTATAAATTTATATTAAAAATAAAATAAAATTTTAAATTTATTAACTAGTTCATTTAAATTTATCCATTTAACACTAACATTAAAAATAATATCAACTTTTATATTTTTTTTATATATGTTTGTGACAAAAAAAGAGCTCTTAATTGCACCATTAAGACATAAGTTAAAAAAACTCATATATAAAATATATTTAATAGAAAAAAGTAAAAATTAGAAGTCTTGATACATTAAATGTAAGGATTCTCATAAAGTTATTTAAATACCCTAAATGTCTTTTTTTTTTTTTTTTGTGTATTGATTAATTAAGAGTATTTTAATTTTATTATTATTATTCATAATATTTTAATTACTAAAAAATTTTAATTTTTTTCAATC